CAGCAGCAGCAGCAGCAGCGGCAAATTTCGCAACTCAAGCGCAGCAGCAGCAGCAGCAGCAGCAGCAGCAGCAGCAGCAGCAGCAGCACCTGCAGCAGCAGCAGCAGCACCTGCAGCGTCCTGCGAGTCTCTTTTGATTTGAATTTCCTTGACAACTTCTTTCAAACGGCGGCTCCAAAAAGCAGCAAAGTAAGCAGCAAGCTTCGGATGAGCAGCAGCAAAACCCTCGTCGTGCTGCAGCTTCAGCTGCCACGAAGAAGACACGCACACCGCCACCTGCGCGCAAACCCTAAACCCTAAACCCTAAACCCTAAACAGGGACCCCTGAGCATGGAAACCTGGGTTCTAAACCCTCAACATCAAGCCCTAAGCCTGAAACCGAAACCCTTAGCCTTGAAGTCTAAACCCTTATCCCTAAACCCTAAACCCTAAACCCTAAACCCTCAACATGGGACCCTGAGCCCTAAACCCTAAACCCTGCGCCCTGCACTCTGAACCCTAAACCCCCAACCCTAAGCTTTAAGCTCTAAACCCCAAACCCTAAACCCTAAACCCTAAACCCTAAACCCTAAACCCTCGTTGGGGACCTGGTTGAGCAGTTTGTCTGCAATTTCCGGGGGCAGTTTGGTGGCAGCTCTGAAGGCTTCCTTTGCGACTCCCGCGCGGCCCTGCTGCTGCTGCTGCTGCTGCTGCTGCTGCTGCTGCTGCTGGCTGTCCCTGACGAGGAGACACAGCAGCAAATCTCTGCATGCAGCCTCGTAAGCAGCAGCACAAGCCAAGCTGCTTTTGTAGCACCAATTGCCATTTACTAAATAGCACTGCTGCAGCAGCAGCTGCAGCAGCTGCTGCTCCTCAGCAGCAGCAGCAAGCAGCCGCTTCACCGTTGCATGCGAAGCCAGGTGCAGCTGCCCCATTATCCGGGACACCTAAACCACAAACCCTAAACCCTAAACCCTAAACCCTAAACCCTAAACCCTAGGGGACCCTAGTTTCGCCAGGGCCGGCGGAGGGCTCATGCCTCAAATCCTAAACCCTCAAAAGGTGAGCTGCGACTGCTAGGGAAGGGCTTAGGGTTTAGGGTTTAGGGTCTAGGATTTAGGGTTTAGGGTTTAGGGTTTATGGGGAC